ATTAAATTAAATGTTCGTGTCTACGAGTATGAATAATTTAATAATATAATTTTGAATTGTAAGAATTTAATTTCTATTTTTTATTGATAAATTTATAACATAGGAAAGTTTTCTCGGGACGTTTCAAGTGGCATAGTAACTACTTTCTTAATAAAAATGGTATAAACATCTCAGGGATAATAAATAATTGAATTTATTAAATTGTTCGTGTCTACAAGTATGAAGGAACACATTACAGAAGAGTTTGTGGTTCGTCTTACCGTGCATATCGTCGGAGTTTGCCCGTGAATTTTATTGCCATCGAGAAAATCAGGAGCCTTGGGCGCCTCCGGTTGCGAGTGACTTCTGGAGCATAAAGGCGACGAAGTAGGAACACTGCTGACGTTCGAAACGTGGCTGGCAGGTAGTGACGTACCGAGAGGGAAATCCGGTCGGTAGAACCACGTTGGCCACTGCAACATCAATTCACACGTTCGAGTGTAATTCGATTACATTGTAAAAATGACTGTAATCTCGGCTGAAAAAGTAATCGTAAATGAAACTATCTCGAAAGATGTAACAGTGTTTTCTCAGATTCCAAATCTTGATAAAGCGTATCTCGATAAAGACTCGAGTCACGAAGAACAGTGTCACCATTCAGACCTCAGAGTCGTGAGCAATCCTTAGAACCTCGTAAATCCACCAAGCATCAATATCCCTGCGATAAAAAGTGCTGATTTATCTCGCCAGAACCGACGAGATCTATCGACTAACCGCTCCTATCCAAAATCCCATAATTAAACTAAACTGAAGGGGAGAGAGAGAGAGAAAAAAAGGAGATAGAATTCAGAGGCAACTATCCTCAATTTTATTTACAGTTCTACGAGGCGATTTATCGCCAAGATAGGAGCCAAGATGTCACTCGTATGGAGAATCTTCGATCCTCTTATCAAACTCTTTCAGACAATGGAAAAACCTTCGAAAAAAAAAACTGGCTCTTCGACGGAGTTCGACCGTTTGACTGTCATCGAGTGCAGGGAAAGGAAAAAAAAGAAAAAGAAAAAGAACGTGTCGCGCATATTCGATGAGATAAAGCCTCTTGCAACAGAGCGGAGAGTAGGCGCATTAGTGTCACCGAGTGAATATGAAACCTGCCCAAGACGGATGACGTATGCTCGTGACCCTGTAAGATGCGCACTCGCTTCGGGGTCACCGGTATGCGTGTGGTCCATTGTACGTGTTCTTATAAAGGAGCCCGGGACGAGACGGCAGGCGAGACGGAATGAAAAGGAGCCACGGTGTGTTTCGTTCACCGTGGTACGTGAAGAGCTTTTGATCGTCGCGCAGACGACACGAATTCCACGCGATTATTCCCATTGACGCGTCTCGACAAAATGGCCGCCCCGCGCGATCGGAGCGTGATACAACGTCGCGCCAAGTGGCCGTTCTTTGTCAAGGCTCGTCCCTTTTGCCTCGATTGGAGTCGCGTTCCATGTTCTTCGGGCACGGTAGAGTAGCGCGATATCTCAGAACGGCAATTGATTCTGCGAATGTCAATTGTTGGGTGATTAAGGTTCTTGCATTCCTCAAGAGAGATTATTAGACAAATTTATGACAAAACAATTTTCTCAGAAAAAGCTATTTTTTAACATCCATCGACCATCTGTGTAACGCACGTACGTGCTACGTGCATATTTTACAAAGTTAGTTCAGTTTTTCCAAAGCCTCAACACTGTTACCCTGTCGCAAAAGTGGAGTATCTGTTTAATTTGCATTTGTACTCTGCTTTACACGTTTTAATTTCATCAATTTAAACAAAAACTGTATCTTCAGTAATTTCCAAGATATTTAACAAAACATGTTCCTTATTCCCAACATTGAGAGTAGTTTTCACTTCTTCAACATCGATCGCCGATAGAAGAAAAATGTGTCAAATTTCATCAAAATCGGTGATTGACACTTTGATATGTTCCCTTGTTAAAGGAATGAATGAACGATTAAGAGGATATTATAATCAAGGAATTAACGATGTTCTGAAATATTGTAAATTTGCAATATTCGTTTGGCCCTATATTTAATTCCTCGCGAAAGAAGAATTAATCGTAACAAAAATAATGTTAGAAATGAATATACAGATGCCATATAATATCAAATAACATTGGCACATTAATTAATATATTAATATATTATATATAAAATTACATATAGCATAAGAAAACGATAAATAATCGTCACCAGCATAAACTTTGAGAATAACACTCGATGTTACTATAATCCGTTGATGTCATCGACTAGATATTTTTCGTTGCTATTTTTTAATTCTAGAAATTAATAATGAATGAATCGGTAATTTAATATTATACGTATTTTCAAACAAAAATAAATTCTGTTGATAGTCGTTAAAGATTAATCAATAAATCACGTATTAACGACAAACGCGTATTGTTGATTTTATTAATATAATTTTGTTAACATTTGACGCTATTTTGTTTAGAAGGCCTTAAAGAATTTATTATAACTTACGGAATTATATTAAAGAATTAATATATTTTTACACATTACATCAAAGAATTAATATATTCTGTTGCTGTTCACTGCACGCTTTTACTTCCTTTCACCTTAGCTACTGTCTACATTAATATCTTTCTCTTTCCTCGACTGTCTATCGTCAAAACTAAACCCAACTCGTTACACCCACTTAATGCTCTGAATCTGAATTGTGTTATGAAATCTGCTTATCCTGATATCCTCGCTGTCTCTACGGAGAATCAATTATTCAACGTGACGATCGTTCTTACACGTCCCACACGATGGGACGAGAAGAATCAATTAATTGAAACATCCCCAACGCGACGTGAACGACGATCGAAGATATCGCTTGCATAGATATTAGAAATCCACACACAAGAGCCACGAGGATCTTACGTCACGCGCAGTGCGGTAATACCGTGAGTTTCGGTTATTTTCGAACGCGAGGATAGCGTGAGGGGGTGGACTCGATGACGACACACGACCGGAAAGTCGGCAATTCGGTGGGGGAGGGAGGATGAGGAAGGCGGATGGGCCGTTCCGCGGTGATCTGGCGAATGTCTCTTGTCGTTGGCCTGCGTGAGTTAACGGCGAAACCCGGAATAACAAACTCCTAAAGTTAGTGAGTTAACGCTACTTCGCCCGAGGTTTCGACGCTTCTGTTATTTTCTGTTTACCTGCAGCCCATTCTGTGCGCCGCGCGAATCGTTTTTACCGCGTAGACGCGGCTCGTCTAACGGAAATCGTTCGGGCCGACCTTACTCGAAACGGTTCCGGCCGAAGACATCGAGGAATCGTATCTGCTTCGTCAGGTTGTCCCAACCTTGGATTGGTTGGATGAAATTACAATGAACTTTCGAGACGAATTGCAACATTTCCAAATTTCAGAGTCTTTCACGTCCAAACGTTAATATTAAAAATTGAAAACGACAAGAGCTTCGCATTAATATTAGAAATCTCGCGATCATCATCCCTAAACAGTTTATAATATAATTATCAATATAATTATATAGTAGTATATTTATAATATTTATTAATATTTATATTTATCTATATTTATAATATAAGAATATATATTATATTGAAGAATTAATATATTTCGTACTGTTCACTGCACACTTTTATTGATTGCCTCACTTTCTTAGTTACTATATTAATATTATTTCTTTTCTCGACTCATTTATCGTCGCAACTAAATCCACTTCAAGTTCTAAACTAAATCACACATACGAACTTTATGAAATCTGTTTATCGAAGTAGTAAGCCGTATTCGACGTGACGATTAATTAAGGTCAAATCAAATAAATATGCTTGAGTTTGTCTAATTCTGTTGAATTGGAGCAAACGGACGAGGATAATTCCGCGAGCAAATGTGAAGTAAAATTTTGTCGAACTTAAGACCGTTTTACAGGCAATAGGCTTCGAACAAGTATTTTGATCCACGTGTACTTGATAAAGTTTCAAAACGTGTGAAGAAATTCCATTTTACACTTTTCATTTATTTTCTCACGTACAGCAATCTTCTGTCAATTACTCACTTCCGTCCAGAAGCTAATTTGATTCAAGTCCACGCGAAAGAAATATTCAAAATCAATGTTCTCGATTCATTTTTACACGTAGAATTCGTTTTATCTCTCAGTCCGCGAGTTTCAATACATCTTATGTCAGTAATATTAA